AAGGAAAAAAGAAGGAAAAAACAAGAAGAACCGGAAAAACGAAAAAAAAAAAAAAGAAAACAATAAAGGCGAGAGAAAGAGAACACTGCACTTATTACAGAGCCTGCCTTGTCGGCCCGGGCCGTGCCCCTGTCCCTGTCATCGATCAATCGCCCGATGTACCTGTGTGTGTGTTGTGTGTGTGTGTGTGTGTGTGTGTGTGTGTGTGTGTGTGTGTGTCCCACCCCGTTCCCTCCGAGGGATAACCGGGGCCGAAGGGAACGGTTCTCCGAAGGACAACCGGCCTCTTTGGCCGAAGGGAACGGTTGTCCGAAGGACAACCGGCCTCTTCGGCCCAGTCATCCCCCGGACACCTCACACACACAGACGCATATAGACACAAACACACGATTCAGTAAGTAATCCCGTGTAGATTAGCGAGAGCCTCTCTGATCACATGAACGGAGAGCCTGCCTGGCTGGTAGAGGTGCGCGTTCCTGAGTGCTTTCTTCACCACCGCCCAGCATGCGTTTGCGGCAAAGCCATTGTCCGTCATTGTTGGCACTACGCCCGCCAACTGATTATCCGCATCCTCCAGTTCTGAGCATAGTAGAAGAATTTGTGCCACCTGCGCCGTGATGATCCGCAATGACTGCCTGGTGCTTCTATTAGATCTGAACTTGATGTACCTGCAAGGAGCAAAGCCCAACCCCATACGCATGTCATGCCTGGTGGTGGAGTATGAACCGTCTGCAGGTGAAGTGACAGTGATGGTCATGCTGAGAAATTTGGCAACACGTCCAATCCCTTCTTCATCAACCTCCGTGTTTTCCTTGATTTTGATATACTGGGCCGGGTATATCCAGCAGGGATCATCCGGTAGTCTGTCCTCGCCTTTCTCCAAAAAGCTCTTAATGACAGCGTTGTTGACGGCCCCGAGGTCATCCACGTACCTGAAGGTGCCTTCAAAGTACGGTATTAGATGGGCATTGCGTGTGTCCACCAGCCTCATCATCGCCTGGTATTCGTACTTGAAGAAATAGATGTCGCACAAAATCGGGGAGCATGCCAATCCCATGGGGATACCCCTCACCTGCCTCCAAGCATATTCCCCCATGCATACTATGCTATTAGCGATGCACCACTCCGAGAGCCAACAGATGTCGCCCTCCTTGAAGAGCAACGAGCCCATTTCCTCCGGCTGGCCCGCATCCGCCCAAGTTGGCCTCAATTCACCTCCTTCTTCGAATCTGACCACAATCGCGTGGTTGGAGGTCCTCTCCCTCTTCGTCTGCATAGCAGAATGCACATAGAATCTGACCGCAGTCGTGAGGCTGTCCTCCGATCCGTCAATCCGGATGGTTTCGAAGCACCTGGTGATGTCCGCCGTGAAGACAGAGTACACCTTGTTCGGTAGGTTAGCATAAAATTCCCCCACTGGCGAGATGGCCCACCAAAGGTTGGGTCTGACGCCATACTGTTCCTCCACTTCCCTGGTCCTGTCTTGACAATAGGTCTGCACCAGCGGAAGGAGAAAGCGCAGCAAGCAAGCACAAAGGTCCGCTGCCGGGGAGATGACGAAATTTGTTGTGTTCGTAATCCATCGGAAGGAGCCCTTGTGTGCCTTGAGTACCGCCATCAGATAAGGTAGTGTAGTCGCAGCAGCAGGAAGCGCTGGGAAGGCGGCAAGTTCGCCTCGGATCCGTGATACGATGGCCTCATGGGGCATGGGAATGCAGTCGAACTCCGGGCCAGACGGCCTCTGCAAAGCGAGTTTCCTGATGAAATTCTTGCAGACGAAGGCCGGTGTATTGGGCGCTTTGTCCGTGGGGCAGATGAGGAACCTGACGGTCAGGAACGCCAGCTCCCTTTTGACCGTCGGGTGTTTGAATGGTTCCGGCATGATGTGCCCATGCGTCGCGCGATACTTCTCATTCTCTCCTTGGCCTTCTTGAGGATGATTCTCCGCAGAAAGGATCTAGTGGAGTTCGTGAGGTCACGCAGCTCCATGATCCTCCGTACCTCAACCATTGCCTCCTCTACGTCCAGCGCCATGCATGGGATGTGATTGAGTCCCGCATTGATGATGTTCTGCAGCGGCGGACTGTCCATGACGGAGGAGTCCAAACTGATGACATGGGTGTAACCTTCGTTATGGAGCAGGTTGATCGTCCAGTTGCTGCACATATCGGAATACCTCCGCGTCTTGCATGGGCACTGCTCAGGATCGTAGCTCTCCATCCATTGTGCCACACTAAAGTCGCAGAACACTTCTGCAGGCCTGCACAGTCTAGCCGGGATGCTGTGATTATAGGTCCATCCAATCCTTGCGCGCGCCAACCACGTTGCGGTGTCATCCCCCACTACCCTGCTCAGCACTCTATCACGCGGCTGGTGTACCTCAGGTGTAGGAAGACGTCGCACTCCGGTTTCTGCCTCCTCCATGCTTTCCTGCCACTTGGTAGCGTAACCATCTGGCCCGGGGCGTGGACCCATTCATTCGGATCCTGCGCTTACAAGCACACAGGTACAAGACACAAAGTGTGTTTGAGAGATGGAACATATAACGGGTACGAGGAGAAAAAGGTAGAGGAGGGGAGAAAGGGCGGGAGCCTAGAGGGTAACAAGTTACGTAGGCGTGTTATGTAGATGGGAGAAGAAAAATGCACAGGGACGAATGGTACAGGTGAGGGAAGACAGGGAAAACAAGAGCATTGGGATGGTGCGGGAAGGAGGAGATCGTGTGCGGTCACGACCTCGAGGGACGTCTGGCCGCGGTAGCCCCACCCCTCGTCGCTCCACCCGAGTTCTTTTTCTTCCTGCCCTTACTGATCCTAGTGAGTGTTGATTGCGTGGAGCCTTCCAGGGAAATGTGTATGACCGGTGGAGGCGTGAGTCCTCTGAACACCATGAGTGGCTGTTAAACGGAAGGACGCATGGGGGTGACGACAGGCAACCAGGCGGCCGTCGGTGTTGGAGAAAGCAGGATCCCGGCCGGGGGTTGCCGATCATGGCGTTGCCGGGTTGCGCGGACCCCGCTACCTGTGCCGTTAGATCAGCAGGTTGCTGCTGGGTATGGTGGGGAGGGGGAGGAGGGGGAGGAGGAGGAGGCGGAGGAGGAGGAGGCGGGGGAGGGTCGTCATCGGCAGGTTGCGCCCTTCGAAAGTTGAGCGTGGTCTGGTGTGGACCCTGTGCGCCTCCATTTCTCTTTCGTGTTGACGAACGAGGCGAGCTAAGTGGAACTCTGGTTGGTCTCTCGCTGATCCTGGTGGGGAGCATAATGCGTGCCAGTGCCGCTGGGATAGGATACGTCCAGAGTCGCTCCTCCTTCAGGACGCCTTCCGCATTCAGGGTCGGATCAGCTTCAAGTTCCTTCGCGTATCCCATCATCAGATCCCTAAGGAAAAGGAAGCCGATGACCGCCAACACGTCGTCTCTCCATGTCGTCCAAAGGTAGTGTATAAGCATAGACGTGCGGACCTTGATCTAGGACAAGCCCGGAAAGAGGATGTCCGGGTGCGCAAGGAAGTACCAGATAGCGTGGTCAAACCACAGGGGGGTATCCCCGCAATCCTTGTTCCTGTCCTTTTTGCACTTGCACTTTAGGTATGGTCTGCCTACACTCCACACTTTTCTCAGAGTCCTGAGATCATGCTTCCCTTCTTGTCTAATACCTTTCTGCCACATGCCAGAGTTCGATTCCCCACACTTATCGAGATCAAGCTCGCGCATGGGGGGGAATTTCAGATCCTGGGGGTCCAGGGGGTTGACCCTTCCGCAATATTTTAGCTTCCCCTTCAGGATCTGCGCCCTGCACTGTTTTACATGTTCATTCGTAACACCTCCTAGGAATTGCAGTGCGCGTATGGACATTGGCACCAGGTGGTTGAAGGTGTCCATCTTCCAGATCGCGTGTTTAAACGCCCTGGAGGTATGTTCGACCCGGTAAGCGGACGCAAGGGGAATGAATGCGGTGTATTGGTCAGGTTTCGAGGCCTCGCCTCCTTTTTCGCTTGGGGTGGGCGGAGATCCCTGGGTGAAGGCCCTTATGGCCGCTATCTCGCGCTCCATTACAGCCCTCTCTTCTTCCTCGATGGCGAGATCATCGCAAAGTGCGATGTGGTCGTCCCGGGGGTCAGTGGGGCGGTCAGTACCCGTCTGAGGCACCCGCCTCTCCAGGTGGGAGTCATATACCCCCCAGATTTTGAGAAAAATCTGTTCGACTGTACCAGATCTGCCCGCAAGTTCGTTACATTCCCTGACGTATTCAACTTTCTTTAGTTCGAGCTTCTCACATAGAACTCCCAACTCATCATCGAACTCGCGCCCTCCCTTATCCCAGGCCCCGACAAGGACAGCGAGGTCACTAAAAGCTAGCATATCAAAGAAATGGGGGAAGTGCCCCGTGTCCCACTTCTCTTTGATAGCGTCGGTCACCCCCGGGTTGACATAGGCGAGCAATGCGTGAGTGGGTTTTGCGGCGGAGGTACATGTTTTCAGCCAAGGGAGGCGGTGTGTGATTTCGCTCCCCCATCCCCCCGGGATGACCTCCTTAGGGGGCGGCTGTTCAGTGGATAGCGGGATTCGGGAGTGAAAGACGGTATTTATCCACTCCAGGGTTCATGTGGTACGGGATCGTCGAGCGGGAGATGACAAAGGGAAAGAGGACAGCGATGAAAGAGGTCACCATAGACAGCGAAGGAAAGGGACAGGAAAATTTTGGGAAGATATGTGGGAGGGAATGGGACGATGCGGGGGAGAGAAGAGGGAGGTGGAACAGACAAGCACAGGGGGCATGGAAAAATCAGGTAAGTAAGGCTGAGCCCGGAGGGATCGCAAGGGCTTGGCAAGAAAGGGAGGTAAATTCATCGGTTCTTTCTTTCGTCAAATCGCACCCTTTGAATTCGCACCTTTTACGTCGGCAGGGCAACTCACACCCCCAAGCTTCGTTCAGACGGACGCAGGCGTACCCTATGGCCACAAATATCACCCGTGTCCACGCAAAGGCATCCTATCGAACGCCGAGGAGGGGCTCTGCGGTGCGATTAGGGAGGGCACCCCCCAACAGCGCTTGAGGAACTCGTCCTCCTTAGTGTGTGACATGTGTGTGTAACATGAGATGCGCACGGGTACGACACGTCATACCCGTATTGCTCCGACCATGTCGGCACACCGCAGGCAATAAGCAAGGCGCAGAGGCGAATAGCAAACGCGGCAGGGTAAAGCCAGATCGCGTGTCCTTTTGTACTGGGGGTGAAATAAGCCGTTCTGGCCGAAAGTAAGTGGGCACACAAGACGGGAACAGGACAATTCGGAAAACGGGCGAAGGCCTGCCTTTCCAAGAAGAACAATCACATGCATCATTCATACATACAACAAATCTTTTCATTAATCATGCAAATAATTACCACCTGCGCTATACGCCTTATTTTTCCAGGAGCAAGGGGTAGATTATGACGAGAGAGGAGGGGAGCCAAAACGAAAACCAGAACAGAGGGAGACACGTAGCAGGATCAACCGTACATCCCATAAGAAACGACAGATGCAATTCGCAAGCGTAGATCATTTCGAGCATGGATCACAAGTCATATAATCATTCCGATCACAGGACAAAAATAAAGAAGGAGATAAGGAGGGAGGTAGAAAAGGCGAGAAGGAGAGATGGAGAACATGTGCATGCCTACCCTTGACGTCATACATCTTTTATTTTTCATGGAGTGAGGAGAGGACGGGGCGGGGGACGATGATAGTAAGCCGCAGCAAGGGTAGAAACGAGAAGGGAGAATGTCTTTTTAGGAGGGAAGAATATATGCAATATTCACAGCACAAATCCTTCGTCGGATAAGCCAATAACCACGACCGGCGCCATACGCCCTATCTATCAACGAGCGAGGGAGGAGATCACTAAATAGGGTGGAAGAGGGGGTAGTCAGGCGAAGTAATAGGAGAAAGGATTCGTAACGGGAGAAGGAGGAAAAAAGGTTCAGAGCGAGGAACACGAGAAGACAAAAAGCAGGGTCTACCATACTTCACTTGAGAAGCTATAGATGCAGCCCGTTCCCCTAGTCTACTCTGAGCACGGATCATATACAATAAGAAAGAAAAAGGAGGAGGAGAAACCAGGCATGCCTTCCCCAACCACGCACCCAAATGACATATACTCCATCTTCGACGGAGTGCACAGAGGATGAGGTGGGGAAAGACGAAAGTAAGGTGAAGTAAGAGGAGTCGGAACCGGGAGAGAGAGAGAGAGGCCTTGAGACGAGAAAAACAAAATATCAATCAGAGGAATAGACGAGAAAAAAGAGAAGAAATAAGAGTGAAAAAAACGAAAGCGAAATCGAAGCGAGACCACCCATGCATCCTTTAGCAGGTCATACATGTAAATTGTTATTCCTAATCATTGCCGACCACAAATCTCAAGAAGCACGACCATTCGAAAAAGGAGAAAAAAAGGAGAAACAGCCTTCACGTATTACTACGAAAATTCAATAAAGTCTTCAAACCAATCATTGCCAAAGCGTTCCTCACTGCCAAAAAACATTGATGTAACCCTCCGATCGGCCAGGGACAGGAAGGGGTAAAGGGGGAAGGGACGTGTGCGAGAAAGGGGAACGGGGGAGGCAGAAAAAAGGGGGGGAGGGAAAGAGAGACCCTACTTCAGCTCTATCCTCCAGGCCTATCGTGCTCCTGCCTCCGCACAAGCCATCTCGCCGAATCGCAGGGAGGGTATGGCAAATCCCTAAAGCGCTTTTCTGCCCCATGCTATCTGGGGCGTCATCAGAGGGGGGAGGGGGAGCATCTTCCATGGTCTTTGAAAGGTGGAGGGGTCGTGGAAGTGCGAAGGGGCGTCCTTCTCTGCCATCACGTAGTCCGTGTCAGTTTTCTTCGATGTAGACCCTTTCATCGACTTGGTGGCTGCCACCCTTATCGGTGTGGTTGCCATATCCCCCTCAAAGGTTATCTTGATGCTCTGGCTTCTGACCGGCTCCATTCCTTT